GATTAAAACTGCATGCTATTTACCAAACATTCGAGGTTAAGTTTTTATTAACGCCAACCTATGTCATTATCAACATTCAATTTATTTCTTAATTTTTTTTATAATCGGAGAATAGTGTTGAAAATCTACTCTCGAAAAGTCAATCAATTTACGTTTGGGTATGAATGGTGAATACTACACCAAAATTCTGTGAACATTTTTTCATCTTACGCGAAATCATTCTGCAAATCAAAGAATGCATCTTGTAATTCATCTGGAATGCTTGCAACATCAAGGGAAGAACAGAATGGGTAATGCGTCAATGCAGATTCTTCTTTTTTCAGCCCAGAGAAATAGCGCTGTATTTTGGTTTCAAGAGATTTAAGATGCCCATCTAGCACAGTGCAGAGTTTCTCAAATTTACAATATTGTCAAGATTTATTTTCTTCGCCGATTTTGCAGCTAGGTATCATACTCTCTCCAACCACTCTATGTCGTTTTAAGCATACCAAAAGGTCTTGTTTCCTTTGCACTTCCAAGAACAATATGATTTCAGATTTCAATTCAAAAACACGATTCACAACATTCCGTTTGACAGCCAGCGTACTGTAATGTAAAAAAGTAGAACCTCGTGATCTTTATTCATGTCTTTGCTCAGTTCTTTGAAGTCTCCAGATTTAATATAATTTACGACTTTTACTAGCAATGGAGTCATGATGGCAAGGACAGTGGTTAGGGAGCTAAATCTTTTCTGTTTTCTGAAAGCCCGATTTTGACCTGAACGTAGATGGCGCACCATCCGTTTTAACCCATCTGCTATAAGCCGCTGAATATTAGGCAGAGATGTATGTTGCATCTTTACTGCACTGGAATCCCCAAGAATTAACTTCCTATTCAATTAAGTCTCTGACGATTGCAACTAGCTTCATGCCGATGAAAGAACTCCATATCTTTTTTGGTGTGTTCCGAATGACTCGTCTCAAATGACGTTTTAGTTTTGAAGATTTCATAAACTCGTGACTGAGAACAACTTCATACAGTAGGCATTGCTTCTTCTCTATTCCATTTTCACTGATGTTAGTAAAGCCGAATTTCAGATACTCTTCTAGATATTTACGTTTTTTTCAATGCTAGGGTTTAGTCTACCAGTTGGCGACCCCATAGATAGCCCTTCGCGACCCCCAGTTTGGGAACCCGTGCCTTAAGGTATGTCTCTGCCATCAAAGGGGCGGCCACCTTGTTACAAAGTTGTGTCTTTATTGTTATTTAATTCCCTTTGATCTAGTTTCGTCCACTTGACGTGGTAGGATTGTCTCATCTTTGGCAAGCCCACCTAAGCTGGCTATCGAAAAATTTCTTTAATCTTCACATACTATATTAGTAATCTGAATTTTAACATGTTTAATGAAATATGACACATTTATGCTGCAAATATTTCTTAAAAACTATTATATAGGCCTATAAACAATATTACATATAGTAAACAATACCATATGACAGTCAATAAAAATGTGCAGATCAACTGAAATCATCCAATACACTATTACAATTTTGCTGTGAGATATTTTTTCTGAGATATTTTGTCTGAGATCATTTGTCCATGATATCATTTGCCCTGATATTTTTTGTCCTGGTATCTTTTGTCCGTGAGATATTTTGTCTGAGATAATTTGTCCTGGGATCATTTGTCCTGTTACCCAATTTTTATTATAGAGATTTAGAAAATGATAAAAAAAGAGTTTGTTAATAAATGGCTACGGTGCTATGACTGATACGGTTGGTTAATTTTCAAGAAATGTTGTTGTGACGCGATTGAACGATCTGCCCAAATGTGTTGTCTGCTAGTGTTCTTGACATTCATTTTTTTCAATGTTTTAAATTAATGAAATTAGTTTAATAAGACATAATATATAATGTTTTATATGTTATAATAAGTTGGTGTATTTTCAAAATAGTATTAAATACGGAAATCAAAGTTATTTTTACCTTATGTTCTGCGCGATGGCCAAAAATTGTATAAAAGGCTACTTCACATCAAACACTATCTGCCTATTGTTAAAACAAGATGTCTCGCCCAAAACACGCAAAAATAACGATTACAAGTATGAGCATTTAATATTAACCATGGAATAATGTAAAAACGGAACCTCGGTGTTATTGTTCCCCGCGGCTATCATTACCATGACGACGGTTAAAAGTAGATCAAGCGATAGCTTACTTTAATTATGTCTTATTTTTTTTTTTACGTCTGTTATTGAATATGACTATTACATTTACTGATATTTTTCTTTTTATGTGCTTTATTTTCCTTTTGTACTTCCTTTTCCTCTTATGAAAACAGAGAACATTTTGAATTTGCACTATAATATTAATTACCAAATTAAAAAAACTAAACTTAAACTTAAGTTTGATCTTCATTTCAATCCAAACCTAACTTCTAGAATTTATTTATTCCATATGTGCTGACCATAGGAAGAAACCTGGCTCTAAAACAGCAGGCGACAGACCCTATCACCGTGGATGGGGATACAAGCAACTCAAATTGTTTGAAATCTAGGAGCTGGAGGGTTTCCTTCGCTAGACCGTCTTATATAAATAGCATCATCATCTACATGAACGATCCAAAAAGTAGTTCGTTACAGTAAAATAGAACATGTTTCAAAACATTACTTCATTCGCAGCCAAAATGTTTGGATTTCTCTTTTATTAGACAAAATCTGGTCCATCACAGGGAACATATTTAGCTATTGTTTATACAAATCTCATCACATGCATCAATAAAGATGAGATTTTCTACTGTATACACAACTTTGTCCTCTACGGCATTTAGGTTATACTAGACTACCCGTCATCCGTTGGATAACTGTGGGTTTCGGGGGTCATCCATAAAAAAACATCACGTCTGTCACTCAGAGGCGTAGCGTCCCTTCCCGGCGCCCGGGGACAAACTTTTCGATTTGAACTCCCCCCCCTCAAACTTTTGATGTGCACCCCCCCCCCCTCAAACTTTCGATTTGCACCCCCTCAACCTTTCAATTTATTTTTCCAACCCATTTTGGCGCCCCTAAGGTCGGCGCCCGGAACATATGTCCCCCCCCCCTCGCTACGCTACTGCAGTGTCACTTATCGTCACAAAAAACAGACCGCACATTAAAAAATATGTTTTTAATCTTTTAAAACACCGATTTCGGACTATCCCTTCATATACTGACGTCACAGGTGACCTACTGAACTCTACTTCACCTGCCCAGTGTCCCACCAAGTCTCAGACAACATGTTTTTATCGCTTAAAAAACGATTTAAACCGAGCATGTCTCTGACCACACTATCCCTTCATATGCTTAGGACAAAGAAACAGATGAACTCTACTTCACCTGCCCTGTATCCCGCCAAGTTCAGATAGGCAACTTTATCATTCACATCTAAAAAAAAAAAAATTAAGAAAAAAAAAATCATTGACGTATTGTTCTAGAACCTGTGCCACCCGTATGAGAGCCGATTACACTAACAACTTAGTTCTTTACTCGTGACGTCACAGGTGAATTTTTATACTATACTTTAATACTTTGTGTCTCCTTATGCAACTTGATTTACGCGCATAGATCTAGATCTAAGTCTAGTATTTGTAACTTTCAAATTAAATTTTATCTTAAATTAACCAAACAAAGATTTATATAAAATAATGAAGGTTTAAAATTATCTAGATCTAGATAGAATTATCTAGATCTAGATTCTACGACTCGTTTAGCTTGTTTATATAACGTGAAAACCCGCCATTTTGCTCGTGGTAAACATAGCCTAAAAATAGTCGGAAGTCATGCGTCCGGTCCGGACGCCATTGTTGTTAGCAACCGACCACGCCTCCAATCCTACTATATCTAGCTCTAGAACCTAGACAGATAAATCCGATGTATTCTCGAATTAGATGGTCATTAAAGCTAAACAAAGATTTATATAAAATAAGGCCTGAAATAGATTCTAGATGTAGAATTTGCGTTAAGTATAGATCTAGAATTTACGTAAAGTCTAGTGCCCTAGTGCTAGATCTAGATTCTAGATCTAGATCTAAAATCTAGATTTCATTTTATAACATGTTCTTCCTTCGACAGCTGATCTGTAGATCTAGTGAAATTTATCGTAAAACTAAATGAAAAAGACAGTTGAAAATTGATTTTAAGTGTTGGAACGTAATAAATACAGCAAACGGACGTATTGTTAAAGTTATTGCCGACAGAAAATTAGATTTAGAACGCGTTAAACTTTTGAATGGGAACACAATCTTCTTCGATAGCGCCGCCATTTTATTGTACTAAAAAAGTAAACAAAAAACTGTGACGTCACGGTTCCATCGAGTCTAGTCGTTTTTCAAATCTTTTTTAAAAAATGTGGTTAATCTACCTATGAATAAATCAATAAATTAATTAACGTCTTTAAATAAATGTGTGATTAACAGTCTGTCTGCAATCAAAAATTATTCTCTACCTACATACTATTTGACAGCCCCCATATAAAGCAGTTTCCTTACAGTAAGAAATCAGACAAAAAAATAAAAAAATAAATATTCAAACATGTAAACAAACTTGAGTTTTAGTAGTATATAGATAATCTTTCTTTAAAAATATAATTTCATATAAAGCACACCTATATCCTCTGAGGCATCTTTGAAGGGGAAGGGAAGGTATATGCCCCACCCCCAAATGAAGTTCACCGTCTCTCGCTGTGAACGAAATAGAAGTTATATAAATAAAATATATACTTTAATAACTTTCAACCTTCCCCAATAAATTTAAGCCCCCCCTCCCCCTACTCAAGTAGCCAGGAGGAAAATATCTGGAAAATAAACCTCTCGTTTAAGACCAGGTAATTGTAAGTTTATTTCGATCATTGCAGGTGGCGAGGTTATGGACATAGGCTTTAAGTCTGCAAAGCATTCCAGTTGGGGTTGGAATATTAGTAACCCTTTCTTTAAATACAGCAGAAGCCGAGTGATGCTGGCACCTGGCCTACGCATTACAGAAGCAATGTCGGAAATGGAAATCAGTGTTGTTATAGCTGGCAAGCACATGAACTTTTGTGAAGTTGAGGTTATTGGAGGCGAGTAAGCAGTTGTGGTTCTTGTGTGCTGAGTATGTTTACTGCGCTTATTATTGGGGATATGGTGTGAAAATTGCGGTGCTTTGTGTGTATTAGTAAACGGCTTATACGAAATGATTGTAAATACACAATTCGAAATAATAAATCACGGAATAACAAAAAGTTATGAAAAATCTCTCCATAACTGAAAAAGCGGGAGTGATCTCCCCTTAACTTTATCGAATGTACATATATAACATAGTGAGGGATGGCAACTCTGGGTATAGACATGATTTTTAATTACTTAAACTTTTTAAAATAGATTAGAAACACGTAGAAAAAAAACTGCACACGAAGTGAGCAGCAAACAATGTCTGTAAAATAGTGCGGAATATTTTTTGAGAAATCGGAAAGGGCGTAAAGTACTACTTCTAGACAACGGAAATTACTCAAAATTGGAAAGATGGCAGATAATTCAATGTTTTATTGACAATTCAAATTTTGTATATCTATCTGAAACAATACTCAAGTTATAGGATTTTGAAAAACCAAAAGTAGAATTATTTCCAATCCCGATTACAAGAAATCGCTAAAGCTTGATACAGAACTGCAAATCCTAATATTTAAAAGCCCATGTGAGCACTTCTCTCTCTCTCTCTCTCCCTCTCTCTCTCTCTCTCTCTATCTCTCTCTCTCAGTTCGCAAAGTATTTTCGCAGGGTATCACATTAGAATCTTCAGCGATGTATAGAGAACTTGATACGGACTTTGGTTGAAAATAATATGGTAGATGTTTTAAATGTATAACCAACATTTTATTTAAAGAAGACAAATAAAAAATAAAGGCATATTCGAATGTAGAAAAACAGTTTTAATTATGCAACAGGAAAAGTGTTTATAGTTGTGAAAAAGAACCCGTGAAACAATGACGTCACTAATGCTTATACATTAATATATGACGTCATCTGCCGAGTTTAGAGTAAAAAGAAATGAACTAGTTCATTTAAATTTGATTTAGATCTACGTACGATATGACATTTTTCCGACCTAAATTTATAAAATGTATTTAATCTATTTGGATTCTAGATCTAGAGATTCTAGATATAGACTAGATCCAAATCTACGCAAAAACTAGACGTAGACGCTAAGTAGCTAAGACCTAGATTTAGACACCATCTACACTAGAATCTATTCCAAAAATAAATTTCTATATTAAACTATTTCAGGCCTTAATTATTTTATAGAAATCTGTTTAGCTATGGAACTGGCTAATTTGGGATAAAAAAATTAATTTGAAAGAATAGGCGTATTCGCGTAAATTAAGCTTTTTAAATACGTCTTTCATTCTCCGTGTTTTATAAGGTGCCAAAATAGCTGAGATGATAGTGTACATAATACCACGCAGGTTGTGAAGGATCAAGACACATCAAAGCAAACTTAATTTTTTTTTATATTTGAATCTTCCGATTTTAGACTATAAAGAAAGGAACTACTTCATTCAAATTTGATTTAGATCTAGATCTATAGATCTACTTATCAAGACGTACGCTATGAAATATATACAATGTTATCGCTCAAACTAATACAAATTACTTAAAAACAACGTAATGACCATTGAATAGCCAGATTTTTAACGGAATCATTTAAGTCACTTAACCAGTGTGTGCCTGTGTTATCTTAAATGTGTCGTATTTTTAGCTAAAAAGTTATTTCTTTGCTTTGTCACTAATATCGTTCAGCGTGTAGTAAAGCACATTGAGTTTTGATCAATAACTATCTCATAAATTATTTTTCTCAAACAAGTACACCATTTTAAAATATATAGGTCTATAATTCACGTAAAACGGGTACCGCTGGCTAGTTTTATATAATGCTTATATATGAAATGTCATACACCGCCAAGTTTGGAAGGGGAACATTAATTTACAATCAGAATTACAATATCTTTGAGTAGTGTGTGTTGCTGACAATGATCAGATATTTGCCATTAAACTTGCCTATTTGTCTACCACAACAGACATCCAATGTGACCCCTTTCATTTCGGCCTGGAGTGTGAGCACGTCTGTTCTTGCCCGTTACAGAAAAAAGATTGCGATGATCTTCAGAAATGTTATGTGCCCAGTGTTTACTGGCATAAGGAATGTAACTATTGTGAGTAATATTTGCATCCAATTGTAGAATTACGAAGTTATCCCATTTCAATTGAAATATAATTATTTAATGTATAATCGACAGCCACAACCACAACCACAACCACAACCACAACCACGAACACGAACACGAACACGAACACGAACACGAACACGAACTCGAACACGAACACGAACGTGAACGTGAACGTGAACGTGAACGTGAACGTGAACGTGAACGTGAAGATGAACATGAACATGAACATGAACATGAACATGAACATGAACATGAACATGAACATGAACATGAACATGAACATGAACATGAACATGAACATGAACATGAACATGAACATGAACATAACACTAATCCTACCTGCAACTTAAAGCAATGTCCGTGTGTGTGTGGGGGGGGGGGGGGAGTAATGTCATATTTTGCGGGGGTAATTGACAAGGGGTGATTACTCGGGGGGGGGGATGTCGGGGGATGGGAAGGGGTGAATGATCAGAGGTAATTGACGGGTAGAGGGGGTTATGCCTTTTTCCCATATAAAGGACCATGATTTATGTGTTTATTAAACATAATATATACCATGCTTTGTCCGGGTTTAGGAAATATATTACTTTTCTAATTAACCCTAACCCCAACCAACAAAAAACTAAACATAAACACATAAACAAACGCAAACATAAAATAAACGCAAACCTAAACGAAAAAAAAAACAACGAAAGCACAAACACAAACGTAACGCCAAACAAAAATGCAAATACGAAAATAAACACAAACACCAACACTAACGGAAACATAAAGACAAACACAACGAAAACATAAACATAAACATAAGTACAATCGCCAACACAAACGCAAGCGCAAATGCCAACACAAACACAAACACAAAATCAAACACAAACATAAACCTAAACGCAAACAGTAACCAGGAATATAAGACAAACTTAAATGTTAACATAAAAGCATAGTGCTCAAAGTATAGCCCAGGGCGCCAAACATCACCCTGCCGGGGCAACGGCTGATCCACCTGATTCAACTTGGTAAACAACTAAATTACTCCATCTTATCCGTAAGCTATCAAACAGTTCAAACCGAATGTCGGTGCCATAGCAATCACGGGAATTCCCGGAGAGCTAGAGGATGACCAGTTTCGAATTAAATAATGGCCATTGTAACCCTTCTTATACATTGTCTATCGCACAGTTTAAAACAAACTTAGGCACCATAGAGCTCAAGAGAATGCCCGGGGCGCTAAATTGCACCCTGTCGGGACGCCAAACTGATGTTCTGCATTTGATTTGTAGTGCAACTATAGTAACACTTTTTATTCACAGCCTATCGCACTCTTTAATATAAACATTTGCACCATAGCGCTTACAAGATAACACAGGGCGGCAAATCGAACATAGCCGGGGCACCGGCGGACACGCCTGATTCAATTTAGTGAACAACTTTAATACCACTAGCTTGTCCGCAAACATAGAGGACATTTAGTAGCGGCTTCTTAACTGTTATTGATTAAAAATAATTAGTAAACAGTGCAGTGCGTTCTGTGTATAAAATAAATTAAAGTCAGTATTTACAATATCCGTGTTTTACCTACCAAATTACACTTGATCAATCAACGCAAATTATTTACATTTTTTAACATCAAGACAAAATAATAAAAAGTATCCCCCCCCCACCCCCGATATAATATTTTTTCATAAAGATAAGTAAAAAACTTTTGTGATCAATGAAGGCAAGTAATTAAAAATAACACTTAAATTTTTTTTTTTGAAAGATGATTCAAATTCTTTGACTTTATTTTTTCCACATGACTTTATTTAAAATTATACGTTTAGGAAATGAAACTTGTTTTACAAAACCTCATATTATAATAATTTTTCTAATCATTATTTTAGATAATAAACACTTTAGGCACCGTGCTCTGTCCGCTTTACGCCTCATACAGAGCCACATAAACCATTTGAGCTATATGTATATATATATATATATATATATATATATATATATATATATATATATATATATATATATATATATATATATATACATATATATATATACAATGCAAAAACAAACACAAACGAAAACACAAACGCAACACACACACACAAACACAAAAGAAAAAACAAACGTAAATAGAAACACAAATAAAAGCACAAACACAATGCAAACACACAAGCAAACTCACTGTTTTTGGTTAAAGTTAGAGTTGGATTTATGGGTTATGTCTGTATTTGACAAACATCCATGCCGGGTATAGAGTCCTTGATATGACGTTACGGATCCACATTCAAAATGACAATCTGTGCTGTAAAAGGCTGTGATACAAGAAGTTGCAGATCTAAAGGAATTCGTTTACTTCGACAGCCAAGAGTTATATGAAACTAAGGTGATAGAGATCGACAATTAACAGAACGTAGACGCTGTCAATTGTTAGCCAATATTTATCAAAGTGGCGTGAGTGAAGCAGCGGCAAATCAAATGCGAATATGTTCTCGACACTTTGCTTTTGTTAGGGACAGTAAACAATAAACTTCGTTTTAATTAACACAAGACTTCTGTTAATAAAACAAATACGCTTGACATTCACCTACGTCAAAAAATATAATAACATTTAATTGGAATATTTATTTAATATTAAGATATAAAATCTAGCTCAAAATCTAATCATGTTGTCCACGAAACTGGCTACGCTAGGTAGACACAGAATCTAAAATCTACTTATTCAATTAAATTAAACTACAAGAAAAATTAAATTTAATTAAAAAAAAACATTGAGATCTATATTCGATTCAAAATAATTCAATAATTAATAAAAACAAATAGACATAATAATAAAAAAAAATATAATTGTCTCAAATATCTAGAATCTAGCTGTAGATTCTAATTATTTTAGTTAGCAAACAAAATTATCTGAAATTGAAATAGATTGTGTGACGAGACTTAAACCTAGAATCCGCTCCTTGAATTTAATTTTAATAGTTGTTACTATTTTTGTTTTAAAAGGCTTTAATAAATTAATTAGTCCTACCTAATATGTGTCTAATAATATGTATCTGATACTGGATTGAGGTTAGTTAAATTTAGAAGCAGATTAGTCATACTGATTTCACCATTGTTTCCGTGCTGCGCCTTTAGGGCAATAAATTACATTAGAGATGTTATCTCTTGTCGGCTGAGATCTAAGAGCAGCAATCTATGTTACCTACAAAGAGATGGAGTTTTATGGTGAGGGCTTGGTATTATGTAGGTAAAAAAATTTGAGGGGGTAGCAATTGTATGTGTCTGATAACTTCCCTGCTTAACCAAGATTGACATAAATTACATAACATGCTACACAAATGGGTTGAGATCTAAGAACATCAGTTGTTGTTACTTCAGAAGTAGATTATTTATTGAGGTTTTTGTAGGGGCTAAGTGGTCTAACGTTAGATACTGTAGTGTATATATATATATATATATATATATATATATATATATATATATATATATATATATATATATATATATATATATATATATATATATATATATATATATATATATATACACTATATTTTCATGCATTAGTGTGGGTAGACGACCAATTAGAACTTGAGATCGAGCATATAATAAAAAACCACTAATACCGCTAACAAGTTGCATCAGTCATAACTGATGTTTATAACACTTCAAATAATTTTTTTCCTACATGTTAAAGAAAAAAATCCTATTGATTTGTATCACTATAGCGATGACGCAATCTGCATTATTGTTTCAGGATGCTAATTGGCGGTATGGGTTATCCTGTGAGCACTATTGCACATATGTTAGTATTGAGAAGCCATGTGCCGTACGCGGTGAGCCTGCGGTAGTGTAATAGGGGGCTTTTTGATAACTCTGATATTACTAATGATACGTTGTACATGTTTTTAGTATGCACCAATCCCTATTTCGACCAAGGATGTGCCTCTAAGTTCCAGCGTAAGTGCCAACCCGAGGCCTGTAACAATGTCGAGAGCTCATGCGTCGAGTGCTTCTCATCACGAGCGTTTTGCTACAAAGGTAACGTATAGGATCCACACATTTTGATCCGTGGGTTCAATTGTAAAACCAGAAATAGCAATCTCTTCATCTATCTATAAAGCAATGTATGTGTATCTCTGTGTGTGTGTGTGTGTCTTTTATACATTACTACACCTTATTTTTATGAAACTTTCGGAAGTTTTTTAGAATATTCCTGGGGAGGTGTTTGCGAGAATTAAATTCAAAAAGTCGCAGTGGTGACCCCGGCAGTGCGATATTCAATTATTCTATAAACATGGTATATAAAATTAAAGTCGTTTGCGGTTTGACACCAATCATCCAACCGCCTTGAAACTTTGGGGAGTAGATGAAAACACTAAAGGTGAGGATTCCTTTAAAAAAAAACGTTTTTAATTTCGCAAGGGTGCGATTTTTCTCTATATACAGTATTAAAAATACAAATAGGATGCGGTTTGACACCGTTCATCCGAATGCCATGAAACTTTGGATACTTGATGAGAATACTCTCGAGACGTTTTCTGTGAAAGAGGAAGGGTCTTTTGTCAATACACGGTTTGGCGCCCAGAGTTCTTAATCGGCTATCTTAGCACTTGATGTCCGTTATCATAGCGTGTAGGAAGACTACTATATTCAGCGTTAATACTTCAACCCTATTGTGAGAAATGAGGACCTACGTTCGTTTAAAAAAGGGCTATACACTAAGGACATTGTGTCTTTATCAATAACAATAATCGTTGACTTTATCGAATCAGGCGCGTCCTCGCAGGGGGGTGATATGGTGCCACAAGATTACCCGAGAGCACTATGGCGCGTACGTTCTTTTTCAAAAGCACGATCGGATATGGATACGTTAGGGCTTTATAGTCGTTTAATAAATTTAACCAGTCGAGTTTGCACTTGCCCCTGCAGGGCGCAATTTGATGCCCAATGGTATCCCGTGAGCGATATTTCAATAAGCTATTAGGCTCTCTGGGTTATCTTGTGAGCATCAGGGCGCTATAGTAAATTTAAACAGCCAGTGACCGTACGCGGACCCCCTGAGGTAGTGTAACCTGGGCGATCACCACAGTGTGTTCTACCTCACCATGATTTCATGCGGTAGGTAAACAAGTGCCCCGATATATATATATATATATATATATATATATATATATATATATATATATATATATATATATATATATATATATATATATATATATATATATATATATATATATAATATAGGCGCAGGCATTGTTAACATTTAAATTTAAACTCAGTATTAGAAACAAAAAGCTCACACGTCTAATAATACATGATTGGTAACGCATTGATAGAACGCTTCTTACATATATCATCAGATTTTCTTCTATCCCGAAGAGCACGCTAGTACTAGTAAATAGAAGGTAAACAATAAAAACAGACAGTACTATTGGTATGGAAAATATCTATATATATAATTCTCTTCACGGAGACTATAATCACCACGCAGCTTAGCCACCACCCTCATCCCAACCTGTCAGGTGAGCTGTGGTTCACCCCGAATGTTTACAATCGTATAGTCGGGTTAGGAGCAGATAATTTGGAATTAACCGATTTGAAACGAAGCGGAGGTAACAATTTCTGATTGATCTTTTAGCCATACTTTTAGACTGTCTCAAGATTGTTGAAACCTATTTATAGACTGCGAACATGGAACCTACGGCCAGGATTGTGACTTGAAATGCAGCGTCAAATGTGAGAATCAGACCTGTCACAGCATCACAGGCAGGTGTTTGAGTTGTCCCCCTGGATGGCGGGGAGACTACTGTGAGCAGGGTAAAACTTTTTTTTTTTGATGAATCTATTTCTAAACTTTGAGGATATTTGAAACACAAGTTAAGAATTTTTTAAAACAATGTAGCTCTGATATTAGCCGTCGCGTAGATATATATATATATATATATATATATATATATTTATTTATTTATTTATATATATATATATATTATATGTGTGTGTGTGTTTTCTACACGTAAAGCATTTGGTATGTAAATTGCCTTGAGTATGTATAAACATACTTAAGAACTGTTTCGAAATTTGATAAACATATTTTTTTGACTTTCTCAAAATGTGTTTAAACATACTCAATCTCAAGATTGTTGAAACCAATTTATAGAATGCGAAAAAGGAACCTACGGCCAGGAATGTGCCTTCAACTGCAGCGTCAAATGTGAGAATCAGACCTGTGACAGCATCACAGGCCGGTGTTTATGTTGTCCGCCTGGATGGCGGGGAGACTGCTGTGAGCAGGGTAAATTATTTTTTGTGTATTTCATACAAGTGAACATTTTATTCTCTAACTTAACTGATATCATGGTTTTGATACGTATGCCGTCATTAGGTTTCGTTTCAGTATTACCAGTATTATTATTAGTATGTTTTAATATAGCGGTTTGATACCAAAATATTATTACACTCATCAAGGTAAAAATATAGCATATTAACTGTCTCGAGACTAGCTAAAACATTTTTCTGACTCTATCAAAATATATTTAATCATTTTTAGACGGTCTTAAGATTACATAAATTGCCTTGAGTATGTATAAACAGACTTAAGAACTGTTTCGAAATTTGATAAACATATTTTTTTGACTTTCTCAAAATGTGTTTAAACATACTCAATCTCAAGATTGTTGAAACCTATTTATAGACTGCGAACATGGAACCTACGGCCAGGAATGTGCCTTCAACTGCAGCGTCAAATGTGAGAATCAGACCTGTGACAGCATCACAGGCCGGTGTTTGAGTTGTCCCCCTGGATGGCGGGGAGACTACTGTGAGCAGGGTAAATTATTTTTTGTGTATTTTATACAAGTGAACATTTTATTCTCTAACTTAACTGATATCATGGTTTTGATACGTATGCCGTCATTAGGTTTCGTTTCAGTATTACCAGTATTATTATTAGTATGTTTTAATATAGCGGTTTGATACCAAAATATTATTAAACTCATCAAGGTAAAAATATAGCATATTAAAGTGTTTAGACGGTCTCAAGACTATCTAAAACATTTTTCTGACTCTATCAAAATATATTTAATCATTTTTAGACGGTTTTAAGATTACATAAATTGCCTTGAGTATGTATAAACAGACTTAAGAACTGTTTCGAAATTTGATAAACATATTTTTTTGACTTTCTCAAAATGTGTTTAAACATACTCAATCTCAAGATTGTTGAAACCTATTTATAGACTGCGAACATGGAACCTACGGCCAGGAATGTGCCTTCAACTGCAGCGTCAAATGTGATAATCAGACCTGTGACAGCATCACAGGCCGGTGTTTGAGATGTCCCCCTGGATGGCGGGGAGACTACTGTGAGCAGGGTAAATTATTTTTTGTGTATTTTATACAAGTGATGCATTTGTTATGTAGGCACTCTCAAGCCACATACAATTACATCATAGCGTATAGCTAGCCTTAAGCTACATCCGTATACAAGTAATAACATGATACAAACAGAATCACAGAAACTGTTTTCCTTTTAGCATATGCTCGGAGTCTTTATACGGATTTTACTGTAGAGTTTTAAATAAAAAAAAAATTGTCTTTGTTTTTCATTTTAGCTAATTTTAAAATGTAGTCGTTTTGATCGATCTGAAACTCTCGCGCCTATCATTTAGCCGATTTAGCTGTTTGAATGTTTAGGTTTTGCCTCTGGTGCTTCAAGTGTGTCTCATCTAGTGATAGATGTTAACTATTTTTAAAATGGAAATTTCTTTTCCATCCCTCAAATTTAAAAAAAAAAGATTATTGGTTTTGGTTTAATTTTAATTTACTTGTTAACTTTAGTTTTTATTCTTCCTTTGTTTAGTTACTCATGCTCAAGATAAGCCTATCTATAGAGATCTCAGTGACACATATTTAGGGCAAAATAAAGAATGAGCTAAAGAGGATTTTTTTTAGATCTTACACCAGAAGAAAATCTGTAAAGATTTAAGTATTTAAATTAATTTATTGCAACTTAGTATTTAAATTAATTTATTGCAACTAAAGCATTTACACAGTAGGCCCTATATAGGCTACAGTTTCTATTTTAATAGAATTCATACTTTGAGTGTGGTTAAATAAACTAGTTTTTATATATAAGTTGGCAATTTAAATTTTATTTGTGAGCATATCCTATACAAAAGTTATATATATATATATATATATATATATATATATATATATATATATATATATATATATATATATATATATATATATATATATATATATACATATATATAGCCGATTCATTTATCCATTTTATGAAAAAAATGAGCCAGATATAGAGAGCCAAAGTTCCATAACATTGTTTTAAAAACAGTCATCGTTTTTCAAAAAATTATTAATGTTTATATAGGGAAAATTTAACCCTTTTAGAACCACTTTAACCCTTTAACTAGAACCAATTTAACCCTTAAACTTCCACAGAGTGTATCGACACAATTTTCGGGCCCAACTGCAAACAACAATGCGACCCTGATTGTGTGCCCGAGTCTACTGAGATCAAACGCCTGTGTGACGCCATCTGCGGAGATAGTGTTTTAAGAAGCAAGATTCTAGCTGACCCAAATGCCGAGGGTGAGTGTGTGGTCGAGACACGCTTGCCAAGAGAAAGTTTGAACATCCAGAACAAGGAATCGATTTGTTTTCTAACATAGTTTTTGACAAATTTAATTATTAATTTATACATATTCCAATAAATGAAATTGGTTGTTGTTTTAACGGGTCTGCATTTTACAGGAGTAGATACAATACCTTGTACGTAGTGTTTCTTTCAATCGAACTTTTTTCATCGGGGGCGGCGTACTTGAAATTTTCGGAAGGGGGTGGGGCGGACTAAATGTTCCGGGGTTAAAGCATATATTTTCTATATGAATTTCATTTCAATTTGGGGGTGGGGGGGCAGTAGACTTTCTTCAGTCTCCCCAGTAATAGATGCCTGAAAGAAACTCTGCTTACATAACTAACATCACTATATTGGACCCGATGGTATTTTTATATGAGTATGTTATGTTCACTCGTGTATTTGTTACTTAATTTTTTATTTATGTATTGTGTTTCCATATGCATTTGTATATACATTCCTGTATGGTTCAAGAATGTATATACACCATGTTTAATACATGACACAATGTAAATAATTTACAGAAAACAAGGATGATACATATATACTGTATTTACTGATTGTGCTGCCCGCATTACTTATTGCAATCCTGGTCATCTTTATATTCATACGCAGGTTCGTAGCGCTCTGTAGAGTACTGATTTAACGTGTCAATTACTTGTTCTATTTCAATACATTTGCTATTGTGAACAGACTAAATAAGAGAAAATATTCGAGAGGTCTCGAGTTTGAAACCCGGACAGACGAGGCTTAACAGCTGGTGGGGGGGGGGGGGGGGTCATACATAAATGACGTCAGACTTTTTTGACGATTTTTACCTCCCTCCCCCCTTCCCTCCGTCACACGTCGTCATATAATGCCAGACCCCCCTAAAATGACGTCACACAACCCCAATCAAAATTGCAGTTTCATTTTTTTCTAAACATCGATATTTTTCTAAAATCTTGTCTGAACTCTGTCAAAAAAGAGTATTTTAATCAATTCCTATTACAATAAATTAAAACAGTTTTTTAAAACTCGAAATAACGTCTAAAATTCGTTTTCTAACATTGCTTTTTTTTATAAAGCAAAAGTGTGACGTCACACCATCTGAACCCCCCCTCCCCCTCATCCCAAGCCGTCACGAAATTACGGACCCCCCCCTCCCCCATACGAGTGTGACGTCATTTATGGACTACCCCTGAGTACTGCTACTCATCTGGGATAGGCACCTACAAAATCAAACAATTGCTGCCTTAAAGTTTGTTCTTGGTTGGACAAAAGCTATGGAATCAACCAAAAAGAAAACCACAAAAAAAAAAAAAAAAAAAAAATCCAGGGTCATCGGCCTAAATAGCGCAGGACAAGTTGACACGAAATATTTAATAGAATTAAGAACGAAGCAAAAGAAATATATATATATATATAGATTTCCTTATAAATATATTCTTAAAGACATTTCCTCCATTTGTCTAGAAAAATGAAAACAGTTAAGACTGAGGCTGTCCCAGGTAAATTCTATTCTGTTTCATTTTATTCTGTCTCTTGATTCTACCAATCTCATTCTTATTGTATTGTATACCTGGCTGCTTTTTATTGTTTTAAAGCATACATCCCCTCCCCACACACATAAACACACACACATAACCACAAACACACACACACACACAAACACACACACACATACACTCACACGCACGAGCAACGGCTCACCTATAAGCATACATAAGCATTTGTTTAAGCACATATATAGGCATATACATATGTATATATATATATATATATATATATATATATATATATATATATATATATATATATATATATATATATATATATATATATATATATGTGTGTGTGTGTATGTGTGCGTGTGCATGTGTTGTATTTGGGTTTTGTCTTTATTTCTAGAAAACTACCTTTGGATAAACTTCCGTCACCTATATATGCATTAATGTCGTGTATTAGTATTGTATGTTTTGTTTATTTCCGAACGAAACCACCAAAACAGATACGTCAGTGCCCATCGCAAATCTAAAGGTCTACATACTGGGACACAACAAGGAATTCTTTCTTAACCAGTTCAAGGTAGTCACTAAAAAGTTTGAATAATTTTTTTCATTTTTCGTTCCTTTGAAATTTTATCGTGTGTTGACTTCAAGTATATTTTTAAAATGCTTAAAGACAGCTAATTTTTCTGTATTGATTTATATTATGACAGTATTTATATTCCACAGTCTATACCAACTGTGTATGATGGTGAAAAAGTTGAGAAAAAGTACACGGCTGGTACCTGTAAGTCGTTGGTTTCTTATTACATCGTCACTGTATTATGAATGAAATGTGTGTGAGAAAATAAGTTTATGTGTGTTAGTGGGTAAAGCATGAAGTTATCATGTGAATGTTGGAGGCCGTAACTTAAGTCTAAGTGGGATATTAACCCTTGATTTACTGAATTAGTGTCTGAATTAATTTTTTTTCTTAAAATAACAGATAATTATAACAAAATATTGTATACGCGTAACGAGTAAATCAGGGAATATATAAGTATTATAGTGCGTAACATAAGTATAGAAGGGTTTGACAAAAGTGACAAATAGTTCTAGAATAACGTGACGGAATGTTTGCCATCAGACCAATGTTCACTGTCCTATTAATTTAATTTTTTTATTTTTCTTAATTTCAAATTATTATTTTAAAATACGTTTAAAACATCAACAATCAAGAACTAACATCCCCATTATACATACATTTGTTCATATCTATTTGAACACCTTTTACACCATAAATGACCATTGGTCTACATCCCCAGATGACCATGCATGCATCCACGTCACACCGTGGCCCGAGAAAAAGCCTGTCAATTTGCTCAGCCTCTCATTTCTGGCGGTGAGGCGCGGATGTTTAATATGTATTGTTTTGTTTTTACTTTAGTTAAATCTTCCGTCTCTGGTGGGGTTCTTGTTGAATCGAGTAACTCAATCTTTCCAGAAATTTTTATTTCCAATGACAATGCAAGAGTATATAATTTCAAATCTAATTAGATATTACATCATTAATTATTTTAAATATATTTTAAATTTTTCTAGAGTCGGTAGCGAAGTTAGCTGTAACCACTTGGGAGAGGTGTGGGGGGGGGGGGGGGGGGAGACTGGTGTGTTGTAATCGTGAGTTTACACACCTGAGACTTAGTGACCGACGTTAATGAGACAGGTGTGTCGTCTAGAGTTAAGAGCGCTCGCTAATTATCTGATCTTAAACTAAAACCTCTAATAAATACATGATATATAAAAATAAATAAAAGGTATTCATTTAAACAGTTTCAAGTTACATTTATCTTTGCAATTTAATTTCTAATTGTTAAAAAGTAAAAAAAAAATTGAGGTAAATACTTTTGTGAAATAAGGCTTTTAAAGTACTAAAAAGAGATTATTCGAAAATGTACTTGTTTAGATAATTTTTCAGCAAAACATGTTTTGACTACACAAAACGAAAGTGATTTATTTTTTAGTATTTTTACTTGCTGTCATATAATTTTAAAATCAGTACGATTATCCATATTTTTGTATGTAATGACTTTTTTTTCTTTATTTAAAAATGGCGCAGCTAAAATTTGTAAAGTAAATTGTATTGTGCATGTTCTTTAAATATCTCAAGATGTTTATAACTTGGTTTTCAATAATTGTTACAACAAGACGCTAATTCATACCGGCAACACAATGTAAAATCTATAACTTAACTCTCTCTTCCTATACATGAAAAATACTGTTTTTATCTTATTCACTTCGGCTAATACATATTTTGCACATTCATATTATAATACGTTTATACATCAATAATACTCAATTTGTTACTTTGCACATATTAATAAACTAGATTTTGGGTTGAAACATGAATAAAAAAAAAACCTGAATATTTCTTGTTTTGACTAACCATGTTGAATTATTCTATTTCTTTAAGTTGGCTAAAGAAGAAATAATAGTATCACAAGGTAATTTGTTAACGTTTTCATATATTCTCTAGTAAAATGTGTTAATGTTGAGTCTAGCTTGGATTACTAACTTTGTATACGTATACACATTTTTATCATTGAAAGAAGTTGAGCCTAAGGCAATGAAAGTAATTTAACTTGCTTTTGAAGGTCTTCGTGAAATAAAAACTATTTAACTTGTTTTCAATTTATGCTTGAGTAAGTAAAATTTATTACAATAACAACGTAACAGTATCTAATTGCCAATCTAATTAGACATTACATAGTTAAAAATTACTTTAAATATTACTATAGTCAGTAGCAAAATTTGTTATTACGAATATTTGCTTAGGTAAATAACATTCATTCATTTTTTTCACATCTTCTCGTAGGTCCGGTAGCTGCGACTGTGGTCGGCTTTCTCAATCTGCTATGGGACAAACAAGTTGTAAAAGTCGTCATGATTAGCACAGAGAAAATCGATGTAAGTTGCAAAAACACACAAACATCAGAGTACTGCTCCATTATCCAATTAAATAGATAATAATTCTGATTTTTCCCAATGTAAAATGTGTTTTGAAACATGTAAGATTGGTATGGAAAATGACAGCGGTTTTGTTTATATTTTTTGTTCGATAACTTGAATATTTCTAAGGAGAAAATACTTTATCAAAAAATCATTTTTTTAGAATGAATACAGCTATTGGTCAATGAAAGATCAAAACATTGATTGCTATAGAGTGAAGACGGTGAAAACAGAAGTTTTTCTAGATTATACTATTCGGACTTTGGAAATCACAAAAGTAAATTGTATTTTATTTCAAAAGTTTATTCTTTTTTAAAACGGTATAAAATTTTAACTATTATTTCAAAGGTCGAGAGTGTAGTCCCGCTCTAAAATAGAACTAAAATAGTAGAAATAACAAATATTACGTCTGTGCGCATTGACAAAGTAAGATATAGATAGATATTTTGCTAAGCCTTTAAAGAAAAAAATTACGATATTTATTTTTGTTTGAACTTTAAAATTGTACTAAATGTAAAATTGCATGCTGTTATGTATCTGACAGTCACTAGTTCGGATAAAGTAGAGCTTACCCATTTCCATGACAAAGGTAGGCGTATATGAAGATAGCGTGGTCAGTGACATGAGCAGCTGAATTTGCTCTCCCTGATGTAAGTGACGAACCTATCAAAGCTTAGTGGGCTATGGGGCGTGACACAGATTCGAACCCGGGATCCGAACTTGAGACGACCGACCACGTTGTCTCATATAAATTTACATGGTGATAACAAGCATACACGAGATAAACGTAAGCTAATAACAGCAACATAATTAAAAGTACTACAACAAAGTCATACAAAAACAAAGCAATTATAATTACACACCATATCGAAATTAAGGAAAGGATATTACAAAAACTCACATTAGCATAGGATGTGTTAGGTTTAATCGAATTTTCTGCCATCTATAAATATAATGCTTGTTTCTTTCTTCCCCCATAATAAGGACGACAACCCACCACGTCGTGTGACCCACTTCCAGTACACGGCATGGCCAGAAGACGGGTCTGACCCGTGTATGTGGAGTTTGGTTGACTTTGAACACAAGGTCTTCATAAACACACTAGAAACTATCACACTGGTGCATTCTGGGTAAGCTTTGAAAGACATAAAAACGACATATTTTACAACATGTATTAACTGTGACTATATATATATATATAAAAAAAAAAAAAAAAAATATATATATATATATATATATATATATATATATATATATATATATATACATATATATAATTTAAATAATACTTTTTACTTTCTCTTATTTACGAAGTATAGAGAAAGTATTATAGTCGTGCAAAAAAAAAAATCGAGATTTTTTCAAATCTCGACGGTTTACACCTCAATGATACGGAAAAAACATAATTTTGCAATCTTGTCCGTATGTCTGTGTGTCTGTGTGTCTGTCTGTCTGTGTGTCCGTATGTAAACACGATCACTTGAGTACCGTTACAGCTAGGTTGATGAAATTTCAAATGTAAGTATTTTATCAAAATCGTAGATCCGTATAAACTTTTGAGCGATTTCCGATAACCGGAAGTGGTACTTTTCCTACTTTGAATTTTTCAAAACCCTATAACTTGAGTACTATTTCAGATAGATAAATGAAATTTCACATGTAAGTAAAAGATCTAATTCTCTACCTTCTGTAAAATTTTGAGTAATTTCCGTTGACAGGAAGTAGTAATTAACGCTACTTCAGATTTCTCAAAAAACTAATGTAAATTTTAAAAGTACTAATAATATTGCGCACTATTATGCGCTTTTTTTATTTGGCGTTTACTTTGTGTGCAATTAATTTGTCTACGAGATTTTATTCTATTTTTAAAACGTTAAGTATTTAAAATGGATTAAAAATCATGTCTATAGCCCGAGTTCCCGTCCCCTGTTATTTTGTACGAGCCGACCCGCTGCGTATCATACACCGCTATTTAGTTGTTTTTTTTCTACTTTTCAGTAATTTATAATTTGTGAATTCGACAGTACCAATGCTGCCACTGAAAATATTTGCTTAAAAACACTAAACCCCCATTCCCCCCCCCCCCCCCCACGTGAAAGCAGCCTCCTCTTATTTACCTCCTCTAAGTTTAAAATCGTTTCAACCTAAATTATCTGCCCCTAATAGCCGTCACCAAACCCGTCTCTATGATTGTAAAATGTAAACAGCTTGAACCACAGCTCACCAGACCATGTGAGGGGGTGGGGGTGGTAGCGATAGAGAGGAAGAGAGGGGACTGTAAGGCGCGCTTGCAGCTTGTTTTCTAACGGCTCCCTGAAGAGAATTATATATATAGATAAGAATATTTCAGAAAGTTTAGGGGATATCACTCCCGGTTTATTTTGTTAGTAAAGTAGTTAATATGGTGGTTATATTTGATATACATTTTCTCGATTTAGTATTTATAGTACACATACATTCTATAAACTATTTTAGACAAATATAGCATTTAATACAGAGATAACAGAAGCGAGTCTGTACTTTATCAACTACTTCTGCCATTGTATATAGGCACCACATTTGACACATTATTTCCCGTGTGTACCTAACAGGACGGATACAACGAGAAGCTCCGTGTTTATAGCACTACACGATTTGATCCGTCAAGCCAAGCTGAACCAAGCCGTGGACTTTGTCGACACGGTCTCCAGACTCAGACACGACATGCCCAACACGGTTCAAACCTTTGTAAGTTCGACGCTCTACAACTCTGTTTTAAAAATATTCTAGTTTTAACTTTAGACTAGACTACCCGTCATCCGTTGGATAACTGTGGGTTTCGTGGGTAATCCATCAAAAAACATCACGTCTGTCACTCAGAGGCATGGCGACCCTTCCCGGCACCCGGGGACAAACTTTTCAATTTGAACCCCCCACCCCGCAAGATTTCGATTTGCACCCCCCCCCCCCAAACTTTTGATGTGCACCCCCCCCCCCCTCAAGATTTTGATTTGAACCCCCCCCCCCCACCCAAACTTTCGATTTGCATCCCCCCTCAACCTTTCAATTTATTTTTCCAACCCATTTTGGCGCCCCCTAAGGTCGGCGCCCGGGGACATATTCCCCCCCCCCCCCACCCCCCCCCCTCCTCGCTACGCTACTGCAGTGTCACTTATCGTCACAAAAAACAGACCCCACATTCAAAATTATGTTTTTTATCTTTTAAAAACAACGAAAACACCGATTTCGGACTATCCCTTCCTATACTGACGTCACAGGTGACCTACTCAACTCTACTTCACCTGCCCAGTGTCCCGCCAAGTTTTATCGTTTAAAAAACGATTCCAGCCGAGCATGTCTCTGACCACACTATCCTTTCATATGCTTAGGACAAAGAAACAGATGGAACTCCACTTCACCTGCCCTGTATCCTGCCAAGTTCAGATAGGCAACTTTATCATTCACATTAAAAAAAAAATGAAAAAAAAAATATCATTGACATATTGGTCTAGAACCTGTGCCACCCGCATGAGTGTCGACTACACTACCAACTTAGCTATTTACTCGTGCCGTCACAAGTGAATTTTTATACTATATTTTAAGTCTCCTTTTGCAACTTGATTTACGCTCATAGATCTAGATCTAAGTCTAGTAGTAGTAACTTTCAAATTAAATTGTATCTTAAATTAGCCAAACAAAGATTTATATAAAATAAAGAAGGTCTCGTTTGCTTAAGTCTTAAGTTTAGTTTTTCTTGCTAGATCTAGAATCTAGATCTAGATCTAATCATTAGCTACGCGAATAGGCCCGGAGCGAGCATTTCAAAATTACCATATTCCAAACAAAGATTTATATAAAATAATAAAGGTCTAAAATAGTTTAGTATACAGAAAATCATTATTTTCTAAATCTAGATAGAAAATTATCTATATTTTAGATCTACGACTGAGCTATATTTAGAATTTACGTTTATAATTTAGCAAAATTACCGGTATCGAAGCCGCGTATGAATCTTAAGCTACGCAAATAGGCCCTGGAATCAGCATTTCAAAATTTGCATAGTCGAAACAAAGATTTATACAAAATAATAAAGGTCTAAAATAGTTTAGTATATAGAAACTCATTATTATCTAAATCTAGATAGAATTATCTATATTCTAGATCTACGACTGGTTTGCTTAAGTCTCGTTTTTTTTGGATTGTATTTATAACTAATAAATCTTTGATTTGACCTAGATTCTAAATTCTAGATCTAGATCTATAAATAACTTTCTTGGACAGATTGTAGATCTAGAGAAATTTATCGTAAAACTAAATGAAAAAGACAGTTGAAAATTGATATAAGTGTTGGAACGTAATAAATACAGCAAACGGACGTATTGTTAAAGTTATGACCGACAGAAAATTAGATTTAGAACGCGTTAAACTTTTGAATGGGAACATAATTTTCTTCGATAGACGCCGCCATTTTATTGTACTAAAGAGTAAACAAAAAACTGTGACGTCACGGTCCCGCCGAGTGTAGTGGTCTTTCTGATCTTTTTAAAAAAATAGGGTTACTCTACCTATGAATAAATCAATAAATTAATTAACGTCTTTAAATAAAGGTGTGATTAACAGTCTGACTTAAAACAAAAATAATTCTCAACCTACATACTATTTTACAGCTCTCCACGATGAGTGCAACCATGTGCAATAGTCAATCAGCCAAACAAAAAAACAAACAAAAAAATAAATATTGAAACATGTAAACAAACTTGACTTTTAGTAGTATATAGATTATACACCAGAAATGTTTCTAATCATAATTAAAAGAAACCATTCTTTTTTACTTTCTCGTAAATACGAAGTATAGAGAAAGTCTTGTAATCGTGCAAAAAAAAAAATCGAGATTTTTACAAATCTCGACGTTTTACACATCACTGATATGGAAAAACATAATTTTGCAATCTTGTCCGTATGTCTGTGTGTCTGTCTGTCTGTCTGTCTGTCTGTGTGTAAACACGATAACTTGAGTACCGTTACTGCTAGGTTAATGAAATTTTATATATAAGTATTTTATCAAAATCGTAGATTCGTATCAACTTTTGAGCGATTTCTGATAACCTGAAGTGGTACTTTTTCTACTTTGAATTTTTCAAAAGCCTATAACTTGAGTACTATTTCAGATAGATAAATGAAATTTAACGTGTAAGTAAAAGATCTAATTCTCTACCTTCTGTCAAATATTGAGTAATTTCCGTTGACCGGAAGTACTAATTTACGCAATTTCCGATTTCTCAAAAAATGCATGTAAATTTATAAAGTACTAATAATATTGCGCACTATTATGCACATTTTGTTTGGCGTTCGCTTGGTGCGCAATTTTTTTTTCTATGAGATTCTTTTCTATTTTTAAAAGTTTAAGTAATTAAAAATCATGTCTATATTCCAAGTTATATAAGAATACTAGCCGTCCCGGCCAGGCCCTGCTCTGGCTTCTGTGAAAAACCTTTCTGTTAAAGACCATTACCTGTGTGTTTAGTTATCATCATAAACACGGCATTGCCCACCCAAACCACAACCAACCAAAACAACAAAACGCAAACATAACGCTAACACAATTACAAATACAAACAAAAACAAAAACCTAACAACAAATCCAACCACAGCCACAAACACCAATACGAACACAAAGAAAAAAACACAAACGAAAAGCAAACGAAAACAAACCAAATCCAAACGCAAAACCAACCACAAACACAAATACAAACACAAACCCAAAGAAAAAAAACACAAACGAAAATGAAAAAGGAAAGAACAAAAACGAACCAAATCAAAACGCAACCACTAACGCAAAACCAACCTAAACACAAAGAAAACACTAACGCGAACATAAACGCAAAGTGCTCACAATCTAGCCGGGGCAGAATCGCCTGTTTCAGCTTAATAATCGACTATAGTACCCCAACTTATTCATAGTCTTTTGCACTCACTTAAACGAACGTAGGTGCCAAACCAAAGCAAATGAACAATTATAATACTACAAGCTTATTCGTAAAATACCTACAACATTTGCACTTGATCTATCCCCGCTAATTATGTAATTATTTTTTTTCCCAACACCAAAACAAAGTAATAAAAAGTAAATTCTTTTCCACTAATGGAATGTTTTATAAAGGGAAGTAATTGTGTTTTCCTAATTTATCAAAGGGAAGTAAGTGCTAAAGGACTAAATATAAATAATTTTCAGACATAATTAGAATTTTTGTTATTTTTTTAAAATTGTGTTTAATGAACATGCCGACAATTATTACTATCAGTTTGAAAAATTAAAATTATTTCCCAACACTTTCAATAGTAATTTTTTAACTGTTAAATTTAGACCATGAGATCGATAATAGTCTAACACTTAAATCCATAAAAGTATGTCAACGACAAACTTATTTTTACAAACAAATATACTGGATTCAGCTTTCTATATTAGATTCGAGAAAGTTTAGGGGAGATCACTCCCGGTTTATTTATTAACATGTTACAAGAAATGACATTTTTACTTTCTCGTATATTAGAAGTAGGCTATAGAGAAAGTCTTGTAATCGTGCAAAATAAAAATCGAGATTTTTACAAATCTTGACGTTTTACATCTCACTGATACGGAAAAACATAATTTTGCAATCTTGTCCGTATGTCTGTGTGTCTGTGTGTCTGTCTGTGTGTATGTGTAAACACGATAACTTGAGTACCGCAACAGCTAGGTTGATGAAATTTCATATATAAGTATTCTATGAAAATCGTAGATCCGTATCAACTTTTGAGCGATTTCCGATAACCGGAAGTGGTACTTTTGCTACTTTGAAATTGTCAAAAGCATATAACTTACGTACTATTTGAGATAGATAAACGAAATTTCACATGTAAGTTAAAAATTTAATTTTCTACCTTCTGTTAAATTTTGAGTCATTTCCGTTGACAGGAAGTAGTAATTTACGCTACTTCCGATTTCTAAAAAAACTAATGTAAATTTTTAAAATACTAATAATATTGCGCACTATTATGTACTTTTTTATTTGGCGTGAAATTCTTTTGTCTACGAGGTTTTTTTCTATTTTTTTAAACTTTAAGTATTTAAAATAGATTAAAAATCATGTCTATAGCCCGAGTTCCCATCCCCTGTTATTTTATATAAAAATATTCGAGAAAGTTTAGGGGAGATCACTCCCGGTTTATTGCACTTGCAATGTTTTCTCACTAGCTCTTTAGTATAAAAAAATAAAATAAAATAACGAACATTAAATGAAATATTTTAACAAATTGTCAAGATTTTTTCCTTCATCAAAAGATGTAAAATTATTTCTTGCATAAAATGTTTAAAACAAAAACGTAGCAAATTTATTCGCTAAATAAAGCATCAGATTTAGATTATTGTATAGCAAATTTTTAACTTGATATTAGATTCTAACTAATTCTAAATCAATATTAAACTACACTAATATTGTAATTGATAAAAAGAAAAAAGGAATTGATATTTTGGTTTCAAAATAACTCACACATGAGATGTTTTAGAATAGAGTCATCGAGTGAGCTAAAAAAAACATGTGTATATACGAGAAAAAGTGAGATATGAGTAGCCGGATTAACGGATTTAAATAAAAAAGAAAAACATACAACGGATCTAGTTAATAACACAACTCCTTTCTGAAACGCTCTACAGTTAATTTTTTTCAATTGGAATCAAACATTACAAATGCATTAGGTTTATTTATACAACGTTAAAAAAACAAGCATTCTAATTATCACCAAACAATTTGTCATTGTTTCACAACTCTTGTTTAGTTTGGAGGAAGTGTACAACTGTTTAGTAAAATATAAAAAAAAACTCCCAGTAAAAATTGAATTGTTATTAAGAATAATACTAGGACAATTGTTTAGATCACTGGATAATTTCTAACAGACGTTTTGTACTGTGTCATCACTGTCATCGATATTGTTGTATTCGCTGCATAGAGGAAGTGTTGGTAATATAAGTACACACTAGAAGATATGTGACACCAAAACTAAGTGGGGCAAACTAGGAGAGAGAGGAAGAGAGAGAGAGAGAAGGAGAGAGAGAGAAAAGGAGAGGGAGGAAGATAGAGATAGAGTGAGAGAGAGAGAGAGAGGGACAGAGGGAGGGAGAGAGAGAGACTTGTTACTTAACGAAACATGTGTCTTCCAGGAGAAGAACATGCTTCTTGACCAGGCCTCAGAGAGAAAGAGAGAGAGAGAGAGAGAGAGAGACTAGCTACTTGCATTTGTTTTCCAGGAGCAGTACATGTTCCTGCACCACGCCGCGCAGGCTAGCGTCGCCTGTACAGGCAGCTACACACACATCAGCGCCATCTGTCTCAAACTACATCTCATGAGGAACCTCGTCGACGGGAAAAATAATTTTGAAAATGAATTCAATGTAAGTTTGTATTCAGTGGCTTTGTTTCTTCGTATTGTGATTGTAAATAAAAATATTTTGATGAAAACATCAATGCTCAATGAATAATATTTTTTTCGATTGCCAACACTCGGCAGCTCTTATTATGCGGGGGTATGGTTCCTTACAACTATATAATATGTTTAATAAATTATGATTCCGACTATCAGATACAACCAGTATAGTGTGCCGGAATATCTCAAAGGAATACTATGCATTATCTTTTGTACAAGATTAGGTTGCCGAAACATAAGTAAAAAAAGCATATTTTGTAGTCATATCACTTAATAGACTCCATTTCCTCATCTACATTTTTTGCAGCCTCATTAGCCTCGGGGTAATGTGCTTGGGTCAGCCAACCTAACCTTAATAAGAATTAGTTACACATTACCTACTGTTAAACATGTGCTTTTACAACATGATTTTTATTCAAGTAAATCACTATTAAATTGGTGTTCAATACCCATTATTTCAGAACCTGTTTAGTTTTGAGACACAACTTACTGGTGGTGTAGGGGACGTTACCCAAGATCCAAAAAGTAAAAATAGATTCTTCATTATACCAGGTAAGTGAATACCAATAGTAAAAATAGATTCCTCATTATACCAGGTAAGTGTATACCAACAGTAAAGATAGATTCAGAAATTCTATCAGGTAAGTGTGGAACATGAGTAAGATGGATTCACCAATCTAGAATCTAAGTATGTAAGAGGTGTAACACATTGCACCAGGTAAGTGTGCAACGACATTAACTATAGTAAGTGTGAAAATAGATTTTATATTTTACTACTAAGTGAAAAGACAGATTCAACATTCTACTAGTTAAGTGTAAAAATAGGCACACCATTCTATCACTCAGCGTAACGACATATTAAACATTCTACATAGTAAGTGTAAATATAGAAACACCATTCTACTTGGTAAGAGTAAATTTTAGAATCGATATTCTACATGGCAAATGTAAATAAAGAATCGACATTCTACCTAGTAAGTGTAAATATAGAATCGACATTCTACCTAATAAATAAAAATATAGAATCGACATTCTACTTGGTCAGTGTAAGTATAGAATCGACGTAAACGCAAACGCAAACACAAGCGCAAAAGCAAGCGAAAACGCAAACACAACCGTAACACAAAAACAAAGACAAATGCAAATGCAAATGCAAATGCAAATGCAAATGCAAATTCAAATTCAAATGCAAATGCAAATGTAAATGCAAATGCAAACGCAAATGCAAATGCAAATGCAAATGCATATGCAAATGCACAAGCACAAGCACACGCACACGCGCGTGCAAATGCACAATCACAATCACATGCACATGCACATGCACGTGCACGTGCACATGCACATGCACATACACATACACGTACACGTACACGTACACGTACACGTACACGTACACGTACACGTACACATACACGTACACGTACACGTACACGTACACGTACACGTACACGTACACGTACACGTACACGTACACGTACAAGTACACGTGCACGTGCACGTACACATACACGTACACATACACATACACATACACATACACATACACATACACATACACATACACATACACATACACATACACATACACATACACATACACATACACATACACATACACATACACATACACATACACATACACATACACATACACATACACAAACACATACACATACACATACACATACACATACACATACACATACACATACACATACACATACACATACACATACACATACACATACACATACACATACACATACACATACACATACACATACACATACACATACACATACACATACACATACACATACACATACACATACACATACACATACACATACACATACACATACACATACACATACACATACACAAACACATACACATACACATACACATACACATACACATACACATACACATACACATACACATACACATACACAAACACATACACATACACATACACATACACATACACATACACATACACATACACATACACATACACATACACATACACATACACATACACATACACATACACATACACATACACATACACATACACATACACATACACATACACATACACATACACATACACATACACATACACATACACATACACATACACATACATATACACATACACATACACATACACATACACATACACATACACATACACATACACATACACATACACATACACATACACATACACATACACATACATATACATATACACATACACATACACATACACATACACATACACATACACATACACATACACATACACATACACATGCACATGCACATGTACATACACATACACATACACATACACATGCACACACATACACAAACGCAAACGCAAACACAAACGAAAACGCAAATATAAACACAAGCATAAACACAAAACAAAACGTAAACGCTATGGCAAACGCATCACGTAAACGCAAACACAAACGCTAATGCAAACGCAACACGCAAACGCAAACAAAAATGCAAACACAAAATAAAATATAACCGCAAACGCGTATTAAATTGCTTAATCAAACAAACGGCCGTGTATTCCATCAATTATGTTCTTACTGTCGTGAGTTGAAATGAAGCTTGAGAAACGAAGAAAAAGTAGCTATACTGTTGACTGACGAACGGAAGTAGCGAAATGACACAAGCGGCTTATACTATAAATTATTTCTGATCAATTAACTAATCTATGTATTGTTTAGACAAAAAGTATCAACCTCTTTTACAAGTGGATTCCCCCGGAGAAGAGGGCTATATCAATGCTGTCACATTACCTGTAAGACTGTTTTTTCGCTTAGTTTTTAAATGTTTTTAATTGTATACAATCCTAATATATAAAAGCCCATTGCGCACTTCTCTCTCTCTCTCTCTGTTCGCAATATTTTTGAGGCTATATAATCAGTATGTTCAGCGATATATCGAGTACTTAACGATGCGGACTTTTGTTGAAAATAATATAGTGGATGTTATAAATGTACAAACTAATTTTTATTTAAAGAAAGAAAATAAAAATTTAGCAATATACAATTGTAGAAACACATTATAAATTATGCAATCGGAAAAGTGTTTATGGTTGTGACAAGATTGACTTGTACTTGATTATTGGGCTATCAATGATTTGTTCTTGATTATTGGGCTAACAATGATTTATACTTGATTATTCTGCTATTATTGATTTGTATCCCACCAAAAACCAGAGCCTGTACACCCAGACCAAACAGTTTCTGACCCAGCTGCCCATGCCCACTACGGTCAATGATTTCTGGAGACTGGTCACACAGTATAACGTTTCCTTGATTGTTGCTTTTAAATCCTATGAAAAGGACAAGGTAGGTGTATGTGTGTGTGTATGTGTGTGTGTGTATGTGTGTGTGTGTGTGTTGCAGTAAACGTAATTTTTTTAAAATCCTACTGTCCATGGAAGAAGAGAATTAGAGTAGACCAGTTGCAGTATGAAGCGATAATGTGGTTATTACTATGCCAAACCGCCTTTAGATTTCTTAACGTGAGACAGGTACCCATTAAAAGCTGAGTGGACTCAAACCAGGGATCCGAACTCGAGGCTCGAGTTATCAGTTAACAGCTCTACCATTTAACCGCTATCCTACTTGAGTGCTGTAGTGTAGTGTTTTATGCCAGGTTAAACATAACATATAATAATAGAAGCTAATAATAGAAGCTAATAATAGAAGCAAATAATAGAAGCCAATAATAGAAGCTAGTAATAAAAGCTATATTAATAGAAGTTAATAATAGAAGCAAATAATAGAAGCTAATATTAGAAACTAATAATAGAAGCTAATAATAGAAGCTAAAAATAGAAGCTATTAATAGAAGCTAAAAATAGAAGCTAATAATAGAAGCTAATAATAGAACCTAATAATAGAAGCGTTCTGTGTCGAATTCGGCTTGTGACCAGGGGTAAGAGCTTGGTTCAGATGTTTAAAAATATATCGAGCTGTATATAGGTACCCGACTCAAGCCAACCAAACATAAAATATGGTGAAAGGCTTATAAGTAACTGAAGAACCCATGACGGAATGTTGACTTGATGAGGTGGACTGGAAAAATCTGATGTTGTCACTTCTGCAGCGAGTGTTTTCTTGACGGCCTAATATACAGTTTGTTATACCAAAATCTAAAGCACCCCAACCTTCAACGTGTAAATGTTGACATAAAGTTAACAAAAAAAAACCATGTTTTTTTTTCTCCAGTCTTTAGCTATCTACTTACCTGAAGAACAAGGCCAGCCGTTACAATGTGGGAACATAGCTGTCAATGTCGAGTCAGTAACAACAGCACCAACCTGGACAGAAATGAAGCTTACCGTTAAGGTAATGTTGCACAATACACTGCTGACATCTTACACGTTGTTTGAGAACTATATAGCGTACGCTTTTCATCATAGAAATTCGAAATATGCAATTAAGATGCTACACAAAAATACATTTATATATATATATATATATATATATATATATATATATATATATATATATATATATATATATATATATATATATATATATATATATATATATATGTATATATATATATATATATATATATATATATATATATATATATATATATATATATATATATAACTATTAAAACATGCATATACATATATATTCATATACAGATATATATATATATATATATGCATAGAAGTTTGTTTATATAAAATATAAATGTTGGTGTATATTAAAATGTCTACATAGTGTTTATGTTTGTGTTTCGGGATTTTTAAGTTTACTAGTATTAAAATGCTGCTTTGGATTTTTCATTTTTCACCAATATTTTTTACAATGTAAGAAAGGACACTGTAGCTCGAACTTAATTTAAAAAAAAAACATTTTTGTTCCTTTCTCTTAGGGGAAACAAACGCAAGAAGTGACTCATCTCACGTTTACAGAGCGTCATATCGAACCCAAAAATCTCCTGCCGTTTGTTCAATACGCGCGATCGTTGAGAACTCCGGATAAGTCAGTAGTTTACACGTGCAGGCAAGTGTTGGTTATGCGTTTTATTTATTTATAGCAACCATATGCGTAATTGTACATGCATGCATGTTTGAATTGTCTGTTGTCTTTGGTATTGAATATAAGCTTTAACTTACGCCCATCCACCACTAGCTAGACTAAATCTATAACATCAGATAGCATCGTCACCTTTAACCCCCCGACATACACAGTTCCATTAAAGTCACCAACGCAGTATATAGACCGATAGATCTTTAACTTAAACGTCGTGGTGGTGTGGTAGAGCGAACGGTCCGGACATTCCTGACTCTATCCAGGCTTGATGGGTACATGACTGGTGTTTCCGGACATTCCTGACTCTATCCAGGCTTGATGGGTACATGACTGGTGTTTCCGGACATTCCTGACTCTATCCAGGCTTGATGGGTACATGACTGGCGTTGGGGAAAGTAAAGGCGGATGGGGATAGTTTATCCCCACATTCATATACCAGTGTAAAAAAGGTTATGAAATATACTCCCTTTTCCATATGGATCGTAGAACTTATGCCTACTTAGTGTTATAGCTAGGATGCGTGATACATGATGTAGTCCCCCCCCCCCGTCCATACCCATTCTTTTTACAACCACACCAAAGTAAAAGTTTTCATCTACGAGTCAAATAGAAATTAAGTTAAGTGCAAAACTTACTTAACCATATTATTTATTACTACTATAGATAATTAGATATTCGCAGATAAAATTACTACGGTAGATAATTAGATATTTGCAGATAAAATTACTACTGGAGATAATTAGATATCTGTAGATAAAGTTACTATTGTGGGTAATTAGATATATACAGATAAAACTGGAGAACTGCAGTGTTATTTATAGATAACCATCTAAAGTAAACAAACTTATTTCTGACCTTTCACCTTTAACCTCATGTTTGTATTTTAAATTATTTTTGTTCCAAGAAACGGCGCCGAACTGAGTGGACTGGCCTATGTTGTGACAACTCTGATGGACAGACTGGACCAAGAGAACTATTTGACCGTTCCTGCTGTTGTTGGTAAAGTCAAATCCATCAGACCGCACGCCGTTCCAACACTTGTAAGTCTAACCAATTATTTTCTTTATCTTACGTTGTCCAAGTACTTGTGTACATTTAATGTGTGCCAATGTACACTTTGCAAATGTTTTCGATTTTTTTTTCTAATTTATGCAACATATACAAAAAGGCCTATGATATATATGTTCTTTGTTTACCTACAGCAACAGTATATACTTGTGTACGAGACAATGAAACTCTACACTGAAGCAGTGATCTCTACAGAGAGGCATCGAGCAGAGTACAGCTCAACTGTCTGATGTGTGTATGCCCTGAGTATCAACATTGGAAGTCGTAGACTCTACTGTTACATATTTTGCATCGCATGTTTTTTATCATGCGCTTTCATTGAGTTTTGTTTTAATTTTTAAAAAATGCGTTACAACACTAATTTCAATTTGAACTCTTCTTTACAAATATTATTCGTATTATAATTTTCATACTTAAATATTTTAAAAAAATATGTTACAGTTTTCAAAGTATTCTATTAAACATACATTTAAAAGTTGGAAATGAATTTATTTTTCTTTACACAGTGTTTTACTATCTTATTTTTAACATTTAATTAAATGTTTAAACTGGAAATGTGAAAATTGCAACTTAATTTTAATTTGTAATGAATAATGTGTTTGACATGGTTTAGTAGCGTATACAACGGTTATAAGTGCAGTTAATGTTAATCATTGTGGCCAACTTAGATCAACAGTACAGTCATCGTATCCATCACTATTTTCATGTGCATGCCAGGTAAACTTTAGGATGTATTTAAATAATAAGACGTCTCCCATTTCATTATAAACAACCTATTGTTGTAGGCAACTACAAATACTGTACATGGTGTTTTTTTTAACTTCTTACATAACATAAGCTGAAACACAAATAAACATCACAAATCAAAATTAGAATACGGTATCTAATGAAACGGTATTACAAAAAAAACAACTTTTGCTTTAAAAAAAAATGCAGTATTATTTTATAGTTTATCTTTCCTTGAGTAAAATGTTTTTATTTCTCTACTAACAGTTGTGTCATGAGTTGTGTAATATTTTTTTCACGGCTTCATGTTGTACAGTAATTAGTTGTACGTATCACATGCTTCGTTAATGGAAGATAATTTTTTTCACACTTCTCTGTCATGGTCGGGGTGCCTATTTTGTAGATAAAAGGTCATTATTACTATGGTGAAATTAAAGTAACTTACGTCACCATAAGACCTTAAAATACATACGAAAATCTCCATATGAGAGAATCGGGATAAAGTTTGGTACTGTCCACACTGACAAAATAGGTCACAAGGGCATTAGAAAATGGCTGCCTCCGGTCATCAGGAGAAAAAAAGTATAATGTTGTTTGTAAAACGGAGGCAGTTGGTAAACCTAACAGGAAATCTTTACTGATTCATAAAACCGGTGTCAAATTATATTGACCAAACACATGAAAAAGGTGAAAGGTACAAAGGAATCGACTCTAACTCTATTAGTTGAACTGTGAAAGTGGGGATAAATAGACTGTCGACTCCCACCTTTTGCCTTTACCCACAAGTTAGAAGTGATTCAGGCGGTGCTGCCATTCACTAACAGTATTGAAGCATTGATGCGTAACGGCAAACAACAGAAAACCACAGTCCAACTACCTAAAAGAACGTCCGACAAGTCGTCGGTCTGTGTTCACTTTTGGAACCTGACGGTCCATAGGGAAAGTGAAGTAGAGTTAACGTGTTTCTGTCACCTCGGCATATGAGTGGATAGTGTGGTCAGCCGCCTTTACTTTCCCTAACTCGAGTTAGGTACTCATTAGTGCTGGGTGAAATCATGAACGTTCTACCGACTTGAACTCCAAACAGTTGAGTTAGCAGTCTAGGTATTTATCGCTTGACCACGCTGTTGATGTAGCGTGAGGGTAAATAAGAAAAACAACTCACACGCTAAACATTCAAATGACATAACACAAAGTTTTTCGATTAAAACTTAAAAAAAAAAAGGTTTAGTATACAAAACGAGCATAACTGCAATTCTGTTAACATTTTAAATGATTTTATTTGTAAAATGTATTAGTATGAAATATAGTTATTAAGTAGACATGTGAAGATTCAGCTAAATCAATATTTTGGGTAAAGAAAAACCAATATACAACGTGATTTGTACTGTAGACCCTGCATAATAAATGGCCTGATTAAAACACACCCAAGTTTGACCTTAGTTACTCATGTAGTGGAAAGGAGCAGACCAAAATAAATAAAATACGCTAAATTACCTAAAATAGGCTTTAAGCTAAATATAAGTGTTTAGTGAATATTACAACGAAATTAAATTATCTTTTCTGTAGATTATAGAATATATTGTAATGATTAAACATTTTTTTTACATTTTTTTTTACATCCAGTCATTTTCTTGAGTGAACAGTATTGCGTCCCTTGTCTATGTATACATCTCCATTACAAAAGTTTTCAAATGTGTGTAATAACACACATTTATTCAATTATATTTTGCCTACACTCTAGTAAAGTTACTTTAAATTCCTTTACAGTCCGTCGTAAATTTTAATATCACACATTGAATGTGTCCATTAAAAAACACTTTAGAAACAGAAAAAACAATTTCCAATGTAGTACAGTATCGTAAAGGCATAGTACAGACCAAAACTAAATTAACTCATATATTTAAAATCTTGTTACATAAATGTAACAGGGACTTATATACAGAGCATGTTACACAGAAAAAGATCCAATTAATACACATATGCATAAAAAACTCATATTACTAAGACTTACAGACCCAAATAACACAGATCAATTAAATAGACCCAAGTTTAAACTATCTTAACTTGTTAATTCATTAGATCGCCTTTTCCACAAATATGGATGAACGCATTTAAAAAAAAAGCCCTAAAAAACAATTTTTCGAATGTACGCTTGCCCGAACGCGACAAACGTCCGAATGGACACTTGACCAAATGCGACGAACACCCGAATGGACGCATGCGCAAATACGACATACGCCCGAATATTACTTGCCCGAATGCGACTGATTGTATTTCTAGAACTCGTCGAGAGTTGGAACATCCGTTTGGTTGCGGCAAATTAAATTGTAAACAGTGGATCTCTTACAAGAAGTGATGTGAAGGGGAGGGAAGTTGGGTCCCTCACTTGTAGCCTCCCCTGATTGTGTTATCCAAAGACCGGTACTGCTAATGTGTACATAGTTGTAGCCCTTGACTGTGTTGTGTTATGGAATGATAGGTGTTCACGTGGAGACTGATAGTTGACGTGTGCTGTGTCGTGTGTATGTGTACGACAGTTGGTTGCGGAGTTTGGCAGTAGAGTTGACCTGTTTGCTGGGGATTGTTAAATATCTGGTTATTGTATTTTGTTTTATTTATCTTTTAAAATAAACTTGTTATTATAAAACTAAATTATTTTTATTAAGTATCTTGTATAGTTTTGTATGTCATATTATTGTTTGAAAACGGATCATTTAGTAAACCTAACAGGAGATCTTTACTGATTCATAAAGCCTGTGTCAAATTATATTGACCAAACACATGAAAAAGGTGAATGATACAAAGGAATCGACTCTAACTCTTTTAGTTGAACTGTAAAAGTGGTGATAAATAGACTGTCAACTCCCGCCTTTTGCCTTCACAAGACAACCCACCCGATAAACTAAAAGTTGTGTAGGCGGTGAGAACAAAACCCCCTTTACCCACAAGTTAGAAGTGATACATGCGGTACAGCCATGCACTAACAGAATGGAAGCATTGATGAGTAACGGCAAACAACAGAAAGCCACAGTCCAACTACCTACAAGAAAGTCTGACAAGGCGTATGTCTGTGTTCACTTTTGGAACCTGACGGTCCATAGGGAAAGTGAAGTAGAGTTAACGTGTTTCTGTGACCTCTGCATATGAGTGTGGTCAGCCGCATTTACTTTCCCTAACGTGAGTGAGATACTCATCAGAGCTTGCTGA